ACACTTACATACTGGACGAAGGGACTGATAAGGAGAGAACACAATGTGGTTAAAGGGAGAATTGAAACATTTTATGGACAGAACCATATACGGAGTTGTTTTTCTTAAAAAAAGACAGCTTTAGCTGGAACTATTAAGGTGTCTTTAAACAAAGGTGTGTTAGATATCTCTTGGGAACGGTAGCGGAGCAGTGCGAGAGACGACCAGTGCTGTGACAGGAATCCGGTCCGTACCGTTTTGTGTCTTGTGTATTATTTTATTGTTTCAGTTATTTGTGTATTTCCTGCTGTTTTGACCTGAATAAAGTGACTGAACTCAACCAATTGGTAAACTGGAATCGGATCATTGTGAAGTTGTTGGAGAGAGTTGCAAATCTTTCTAACAATAGTCACACACACACAGAGAGACACAGAGACACACACACAGACACAGACACACACATTAATCCATGTTGAGAGTTTGATGTAAACGATGACTTGTGGCCTCACACTCTCACACCGATTCCTGTCACAATATTCAGCCGCACTGATCAGACAGTCACAATAAACACATTGAGATATTGCAGTCATTCAGACTCTGGAGACTCAGTGCGTTACTTACCAGAAACACTGTATTTTACACTCCGGGTTCCTCAGAGCGTCACACAGTCGCTTCACTCCACAATCTCCCAAATTATTATAACTCAGTTGCAGATCCATCTGTGAGTGGTTTGTGCTGAGAGCGGAGGTCAGATCCTCGGTGCAATCAGCTGTCAGATTGTTTCTGTCCAACCTGGAGATCAGAGACACAGAGACATAACAGGGATCAGAGTAAACACAGTGTGTATAACCCACTATCATTCACCGTTGGTTTGATGCCGGACAGGTTGTAGGAGTGCGACACACACACACATACGAACACACCAACACAGACACGCAGCCAACGATCTACTCTTACTCACGCACACATATAAACACATGACCCACATGCAGATACACACAAACAGACACAGACACCCAAACACACACAGACGCACACATAGACACACACAGACACACTGAAATACACACAAACATATAGAAACATACATACACACTCATGCACATAAATAAACGCACACACACACAAACGCACCCACGCAAACACATACGTACAAAAACACACACAGAAACACACAAACAAGCACACAGATAAACAAACGCACACAATCCCCCACACTCAGAAACACACACAAATACATACTCACATAGACACGCACGCAAACGCACACACAAACACATGCAAACGCACATCCGTAAACACACATGAACACAGAAATAAACACAAACAAACATACATACACAAACATACAGACAAACACACACAAATACACACAAACAGAAACACACACGCAAACAAGCACACACAAAAACAAACTCACAAACACGCACGCACATGTACACACAAACAAACACCACACACAAACACAAACATACAAACACACATAAAAACAGAAACAAATACACAGACACACAGAATCACATACAAACACGCATACATGAATGCACATAGACAGATACACAAACAAACAAACATGCAAATATACATACTAAACCCAGAAACCCACAAACACGCACAAATACTCACAAACTCATGCACACTATATCGCACATACGCATACACACACGCACACATACAAACATAAACAAAATCACACACAAACACACACATAAATGCACATACATGCACACAAACACATGTACCACAACCAAATACACACACTCACAGACATGCACACAAACACACATAGACTTTCGCAGATAGACACACACAGAAACACAGAAACACGCACACATAAATACACATACACACACAAACAAACACATGACCCAGAGTCAAATATACTCACACAGACACACTCACGCAACCACACACGCGCAAAATCTCACACAAGCACACACAAAAAAAAGGAACAAAATCACACACAAACACGCACACATAAATACACATACACACACAAGCGCATGACCCACAGAAAAAATGCACCCACACAGAGACAGAAACACAGACAAACAAACAGACTCACACAAACACATATACACACAGAAACGCACACACAAAGACACACACATGCACACAAATACTCACACAAATACACACAAAAAATTACACGCACAAACACACACCCACACCAATCACAGACACACAAACCTACCCACAAATACACATACAAACAAACACAACAATACACAAACGCACACAATCGCACACACACAGAAGCAAACACACAAACACTCACAAAAACACACACACATAAACTAACATACACAGAAAAAAGCACACAAGCACAAATTCACACACATGCACAAACATGCATAAACATACACACAAACAATCGCACAAATATACACTCACAAACACACAAATATAAACAAAAACAAACTCACAAACACGCACACACATACACACTCAAACAAACATAACACACACAATCACACACGCATGGAAACACACGTAAAGACACACTCAAAATCATACAAACACAAACAGAAGCACAACATCAAATAAAAACACAGACACATAAATACACATACACAGACATTCACAAACAAACACACAAACACAAACAAATATACAGACACACACAAACACAAACAGAAACCCACACAAACACTCATAGAAACACTCACAAACTCACACACACAAAATCACACACGCGCAACCACCCACACGCAAGCACACAAACATAAAAAACAGACAAAAATACACACACAAATACACGTATACACATACACATAATCAAACACACAAATGCGCACACAAAGAAAAACATACAATCACACACAAACACACACGCGAGCGCACTCACACAGACACACCCAAAAACACACATACACACTTACACGCACACAAACACAAATACACAACAGCATCAAAAAATGACAATTACAGAGCGCCTTTCACGACCGGAGGACTTCCCAAAGCGCTGAACAGTCGGGGGTCGGGGCCCCAGTATGTGGGAGAGGTGGGGAAGGGGTGGGGGAAGGCATATAAGTGGGAGGGAGATCAAAGGAACGGTAGAAGAGAAGTGTCTTCAGACAGGCCTTGAGGGAGGCAAGGGAGGAAGGGAAGGATCCATGGGATGGAGTTCCAGAGTGTGGGGGTAGAGAGGCTGAAATCCCGGCCAAAGATGGGAGGGCGGGTCGGTTGGGAGACATGGGGCAGCTCGGAGCCCGCTGGACGGAGGGAGCGGGCAGGTTGGTAGTGAGTCAGCGGGTCAGAGAGGGAGGAGGGGGCGAGGCCATGGATGGCCTTAAAGGTGAGGACGAGGATCTTGAACTCGATCTTCTGGACGATGGAGAGACTTGGGCCAGCGTTGGAGTGATGGGGTTGGGCGAGGGTGGGAGTGATGTCGTCGGGCGAGGGTGAGAGTGATGGGGTCGGGCGAGGGGGGGAGTGATGGGGTCGGTCGAGGGTGGGAGTGATGGGGTCGGGCGAGGGTGGGAGTGATGGGTTCGGGCGAGGGTGGGAGTGATGGAGTCGGGCGAAGGTGGGAATGATGGGGTCGGGCGAGGGTGGGAGTGATGGGATCGGGAGGGTGGGAGTGATGGGGTCGGGCGACGGTGGGAGTGATGGGGACGGGCGAGGGTGCGAGTGATGGGGTTGGGGAGCCTGGTGTGTGTGAGTACAGGAGCTGCAGAGTTTGGATGATCTGCAGTTTGTGAAGGGAAGAGTTGGGAACACACACATAAACACAAACACAATCGCACACACTCACAGGAACATACACAAACACACACAACAACAACAATATTTGTATAGCGCCTTTCACGTCGGGAGGACGTCCCAAGGCTCTGACACGCACACAAACACTCACAAATGCACACACAAACACAAAATAAACATATACACAAACATTCACACAAACAAACAGACGCGCACAAACACACACACAGAAACAAATACACACACAATCGCACATACACAAGAAAAACAGAAGCTCACTCAAAAACACAAACAAACTGACTTACAAAAACACCTATGGACACACGTACACAGAAACACGCACACACACACACAGATACGCAACCAGACACACACAAGACACACACACAGGCACAATCGCATGTACTGATACACACACACACACACAGAGATATACACACAGTGTTGTCATGGGTTAATGTTAAAGTATGGTTTAAGAATATAAAATAGAAGTGCAAAGGCTGCAAAGCTCAGTGACTGAAGGCAGAACCCAAAACAATGGGAAGATAAGGTCAGGACGTACAAGGACACAGAAAGTCTGTTCACACTTACATACTGGACAAACGTACTGATCAGGAGAGAATAAAATGTGGTTAAAGGGGGAATTGAAATATATTATGGATATAACAAAATAAGGAGTTGCTTTTTCTTAAAAAAAAAGACAGCTTTGGCTGCAGTTATTAAGGTGTCTTTAAACAAATGTGTGTTAGATATCTCTCGGGAATGGTAGCGGAGCAGTGCGAGACACGAACTGTGACAGAATCCGCTCGGTACCGCTTTGTGTCTTGTGTATTATTTTATTGTTTCCTTTATTTGTCTATTACCTGCTGTTTTGACCTGAATATAGTGACTGAACCCAACCAATTGGTAAACTGGAATAGGATCATTGTAAAGTCGTTGTAAATAGTTGCAAACGTTTCTGACAACAGACACACACACACACATTCAACCGCAAACATAGATACGCACACAGACACCGACACACACGCAGACACACACACTCACAGACTCGCAGACAGAGACACACATACACAGACATGCAGACACACAGATACATTAACACACGTTGAGAGTTTGATGTAAAATATGGCTTGTGGCCTCACACTCTCACACAAATTCCTGTCACAATATTCAGCCGCACTGATCAAACAGTCACAATAAACACATTCAGATATTGGAGTCATTCACACTCTGGAGACACAGTGCGTTACTTACCACAGTCTCTTTATTTTACACTCCGGGTTCCTCAGAGCCTCACACAGTCGCTTCACTCCACAATCTCCCAGATTATTGCCCCTCAGCCTGGACACAGAGATACAAACACAGGGAATACGGTTTAACAACACAATACACATTGACATGTATATACAGGAGCCCTTCACGTGGGGAGCAAGTCCCAAGGCGCTGGGACCAGGGTCAGACACACACAAACACATGTGCCCACACATCACAGTCTGTCTCTCTCTCTCTGTGATTCTCTCTGTCTCTCCCTCAAACCAATAACTACGTTTGACAATATATTCTCTTTCACCGTCTTTCACTCTCTCTCTCTCTCTCTCTCGCTCTCTGTGTCTTCTTCTATGACTTTCACTTTGTCTCAGTCTCTCTCTATATATATATTTCTTTCTCTGCCTCTCCCACAAAACGCAGTTACTACACGTTATAGCATACTCTCTCACACAGTCTCTCTGTTTCTCTCAGTCTGTCTCTCTCTCTCACACACATCATCGTTTCCTCTCTTGCTCAGTCTCTCTCTCTCTCTCTCTTTCTCACTGTCTCAGTCTCTATCTCTGTCCTTCAGTCTCTCTCTCACTCTGTCTCTGAGTCACTTTCTCTCTCAGTCTCTCTCTCTCTGAGTCTCTTTCATTGTTTTTCCTGCAGTTTCTGCAAATCTCTCTCTCTCAGTCACTCTATATCTGTTTCCCCCACAACACACACATTCGCTACCCTTTAAAATATATTTTCTCTTAATTTCTTTCGCTCTCTCTCAGTCTCTCTCCCTCTCTCTATATATATATTATATATGTGTCTATCAGTGTTTCTTTCTGTCCCTCTCTCAATCTCTCTCTCTCTCTCACGCTTTCTCTCTCTGTCAGTCAATCTCTTTCAGTCACTGTCTCTGTCTCTCCTACAAAACATACAGTCACTACACTATATATTCTCTCTCTGTTTCTGTCTCACTCACTCTTTCAGTCTCTCTCTCTTTCTCTCCCTCAATATCTCTCTCAGTCGCTCTCTATGTCTATGTCTCTCCCTCCCACTCTCTCGCAGTCTCTCTCTCACTCACTCCCTCTCAGTCTCTCTCCTCTCTCTCTCTCTCTCTCTCTCTCTCATTCTCGCCCTTAAGTCTCTTTCTCTGTCTCTCTCTCTCTCTCTCTCTTTCATCGTCTCTCTCTCTGCCTCTGCCTCAGTATCTCTCTCTCTCTCTCTCTCTCTCTCTCTCAGTCTCTCAGCCTCTATCGCTTAGTCTCTCTCTCTTTCTAAGTCTCTCTCTCTATTTGTCTCTCAGATTCTCTCTCACTCTATCTCTGTCTTTCAGTCTCTCTCTCTTTCCAAGTCTCTCTCTCTCTCTCTCTCTCTCTCTCTCTGTATCTCTGACTCTGTCTCACTCTATCCCTATCTCTGTCTTTCAGACTATTTTTCTCTATCGAGGTCTCTAAGTATCTCTTTCTATCTCTCTCTCACAGTCTCTCTCACTCTGTGTCTCTGAGTCACTTTCTCTCTCATTCTCTCTCTGTCTGATTCTCTCCCACTCTCACAGCCACACACTCTCTCTCTACTTCACTCACTCACTCAGTTTGTCTATCTCACTCTCCCTTTTCCAGTCTCTCACACTCTCACAGTCTCTCTCTCAGTCACTCGCTCTCTTAGTCTCTCTCTCCGTCTCTCTCTGTCTTTCAGTGTCTCTCTCTCGCTCCTCGTCTCTTCGTCTCTCTCTAGTGACTCTCTTCTCCCTCCTCCTTTCTTTTGGCCCCTCTTCCTCGCTCTCTCTTTCTCTCTTTGTCAGTCTCTCCCACTGAATCTCTCCATTTCTCTCTCTCTCTCTCTGTCTCTTTCTCTCTCTCGCAGTAACAGTCTCTGTCACCCACAAAACACAGTGTCACTACACTTTATAATATCTCTCACAGTCCCTCTTTCTCTACGTTTTTCTTTCTCTCATTCACTTTCTGTCTCTCGCGCTCTATTCTTTCCCTCATTCAGTCATTCGATTTGTCTCTGTCTTTATCTCTGACTCTCGCGCTCTCTCTGTCAGTTTCTCTATCAGTCGCTCTCTCTCTCTCTCTCTCTCTCTCCTCTCTGTCTCAGTCACTTGCTCTGGCTCTCCCACAAGACAGTCACTATTCGTTATAATATATTTTTGTCTCAGTCTCTCTCTGTGTCTCTGTTTGTCTCTCTTACCCTCTCAGTCTCTATCTCTAAGTCTCCCACAAAATATACAGTCACGAAATGTTATAATTTATCCACCCTATTCTCTCTCACTCTGCCTGTCTTTCTCTCAGTCTGTCTCTCTCTCAATCTCTCTCTTACTTTCTTTCTCTCAGTCTCTCTCTGATTCTCTTTCACTCCCTCTTTCTCTCCCTAACTCAGCCTCTCTCTCAGTCTCACTCTCAACGTTTCACCCTAACTCTGTCTTCGTCTCTCACTCTATCTTTGTCTCACTCACTCTCTCTTCACTATCTCTCTCTCATTCTCTCTTTCTCTTTCTGTCGCTTAAACCCTCTCACAAAAAACCCTCTCACACGTTATATTTCTTCTCCCCTAATCTCTCAGTCTCGTTCTCTCTATCTGTCTATCACTATGTCTTTCTCTCACTCAGATTCTCTTCTCTCTCAGTCTCTCTTTCTATCTCTGTATCTTTCCGTCGTTCTCTCTCAGGCCTCCTATATCTCATATTCTCAAGGATTATGGACTCGATCTGCAAATTCTATAACAACCGGATTGTGGCTGACTGTGAGGCAAATAAACACGAGTTGAGCACGGAAACATCCGTAAGGTTTTGCTCTGCCAGGAATCACCCTAGGCCCTCTCGCACAGACGTTTTGGCTGCAAAGATACCAAGAAAACAGTACATCAGGACATGATTTCTCCACTAAAAGAATCCGTCCGAGAGCTAAAGCTGTTTGGGAATATGAATGCAATCATTGACCCGAGAGAATTAAACGTCTCAGGATTAGGGAGGAAGTCCCAACATCATGCATAGCTGAGAAGGACAGGTTGCAGGAGTGCACACACACACACACACACACACATACACACATACAACCCACAAACAGACACGCATGTACACACGCATTCAAAACAAACATACACCGTATGATCAGGGACAGACACACCCGCACATGTGCACTCACGAAAACTGTTTCTGTCCCTCACAATCTCTCTCTTGCTCTTCGTCTCTCTCTCTCTCTTTCAATCTCAATCGCAGCTTCCGTCTCTGTCTCTGAACCTCTCTCTCTCTCTCTGTCTTTCTCTGTCTCTCTCACAGTCTCTCTCTCAGTCTCTCACTCATATTCTGCAGTCAGCATATTTGGTAATATATTCTCTCACACACTCTTCACTCACCGAGTCTCCCACCTTGTCTCTCTCAATCACTCTCTCTCTGTACTGCAATCGCGCTCTCTCAATCTCTCTCTCTCTCTCAGCCTCTCTCTATCTCTCTCATTCTTTCTTTCTCCCAAACTGTCGCTCAGTCAGTCACTCTCTCTCTCTCTCTCTCTCTCAGTCTCTATCAGCCTTTCTCTCAGTCTATCGCTCAATCTGTGTCCCTCACTTTCTGTCTAAGCCTCTCTATCAGTCCCATTCTCTCGCTCTCTCTCTCTATATATATATCAGTGTCTCTCTCTTCACTCTCTCTACCTCTCACACAAATCACAACGTAAGTACACTTTAAAATATAGTTCCACTCCGAGCCTCTCTCAGTCTCTCTTTCTATCAGTATACCTCTCTGGCTCTCTCTCTCTGGCTCTTTTTAACTGTCTGCCTGTCTGTCTCTCACGCAGTCAGTCTCTCTCCTCGTCTCTCTCTCCCATTTTCTCTCTATCTCTCATGGTCTCTCTCCGCATCTCCCACGAAGCAGTTACTACACTTCATAATTTATTTTCTCTGAAAATCTCTCTCTGCTTCTCTTTCTGTTTCTGACCGTCCCTCTCTCTGTATGTCTCCGTATCTGTCAGTCTCTCTCAGTCTCTCTCTCGCTTTAAAAACACAGTCACTACACCATAGAGTATATTTTCTCTGAGTGTTTCTCAGTCTCTGTCTCCCTCACAGTCCCTCTACCTACCTCAGTCTCTCTTTCTCTCTCTCTTTCAATCTCTCTGTCTCCCACGAAACGCAAAGTCACAAAGTCAATATATCATATATTATCTAGCAAAAAGTCTCTTTCTCTCCCTCTCTCTCAGTCTCTCTCTCAGTCTCTCTCTCTCTCTCACACACAATCACACACACACAGCAAGACTTTCCCTCGCTATCTCTTTCTCTCGGGCTCTCTGAGGCTCTCGCTCAGTCTCTCTCTCTCTCTCTCTCTCTCTCTCTCTCTGTCTATCACATTCTCTCTCAGTCTCTCTCAGAATCTCTTTCTCTATCTCTCCCGCAGTTTCTCCCGTTCTCTCTCTCTCGTTATCTCTCTATCGCTCTCAGGCTCTCTCCGTTACTCCAACAAAATACACAGTCAATACACATTAAAATATTTTCTCTCTCAGTCTCTCTCTCAGACACGAGTGGAGTAAGGATACATCCGTAAGGTTTTGCCCTGTCAGGAATCACCCCCAGGCCCTCTCGCTAGCGAGGCGAGGGCTCTAACCACTGAGCTACAGGGCTCAGACTGCAGTGTGTGAGCAGACACAGGCTAACTCAGGGCTAAAGCTGTGTAGACTTTATTCTGGGTGAGGTTTTTGCAGAGGTTTTGACTGTAAAGTTACCAACGGAAAAGTACACCAGAACATGATGTTTTCCACATTTTTTCCATACATGAGCTAAAGCCAGTTGCAAATACAGATGGAATCATTGAACTGAGTGCGTTAAACGTCTCAGGAATAGGGAGGAATCTCCAGCACCATGGGGTGGGGGGGCGGGAACTATTCCCGCTCCGCAACCATTTCCATCATCCCAACTTCACCATCCCCTCACCCTTCCGCTTTCATTCCCTCCCTCACTTCCTCCGCTCTCTTTCCCACTTTCCTCCCTTTTTCTCCATACTTTCTCTCACACACTTCTTCCTCTCTTTCCTTCCACTATATCCTTACTCTCAAACTCTCCATCCTCTCCCTCCCTCCTTCCTCTCCATCCTTCCACTTCCTCCCACTCACTTCCTTCCCTACTTTCTCTACTTGAGCCATGGGGGCACCGATTGTTGGTACGGAAATTAAGCAGCAGCTTCTTTTCTCTCTATAAATCAGTCAAGATGGATTCCAAGCCCAGGATAAACGAACATGTTGTCACTATCTCAGCTCCAGGTAAAGCCTTCCAGCAGCTGTCACCACAATACAGAGATACCCACCCTGGTCTGAATTATAACATCTGCAGTGCTGAGCTCTGAGGATTGGAGCAGTTAAACAAACTGACACGCTGACCCACGTGATGGACTCTATATTAATATAAGTTGTTGTTGATTTATAGAGAGAATATAAACTCTGAACTCAATTATATCAATTGCACGAATAAGCTGTGAGGATTTACACAGATAATCTGCAACAGCAACGATTCCACTGTAGCTGTAGAGCTGAGCTGTGAGGCAGCCAATGTCGCAGTGCAGTCAGATATAGGCTGCAGAATTTTGTTATAATATAAGCCATAATTAAATGTTGTTTCATCAGGGTGTAAATGGAGTGGAGGCTGTGAGGGGCTGAGACCAGCTGTTGTGTTGTTTATAGAGTCAGTACAGACTGGGGGGAGCAGAGTGGACAGGGATTGAATGACTGGGACAGGAGGAGTCACAGAGATGATTCAGGTCACAGCTGATGGCTCTCAACATTCTCAGTAAGGTCTCGGCCTGTGCTCACGAGTCGGGGCTTTAATATTGAGGATCATTTATAGCCAAATTGTGTTGGGAATTCTCCCCCAGTGAGACAGACTGTCTGTATATCAGTATATTCCCCGAGCACTCACACACCTCACTCACTGGCTGATATTCTCCAGGTTTCTGACTGAAACCATCAATAACGACAAACCTGAGCTGTCGGCACTTGTGCAGTGCGGGCACCAGACGCTGGATCCCTTCAGCTCCGATGTTACAGCTGTTGAGATTGAGGTTTTCTATGGTGTCACAGAGCTGTAACACATGAGACAGCACAGCACAGTCCAGAGGGTTCAATGTGAACCCACTAAAGTCCAGTGTCCCCACAGCTCCGAGTGTGACCTGGGCCAGAGTGTTGTTCTGAGACTCAAACAGATAGTACATCATGTTCAGCAGCTTCCGTTTACCACCTTTTCTCCCTGACTGTTTAATCGCCGCCTCAATATTCACCTTCAGCCAGGAGATGGCTTCACAGACTGACGCGTTAGTTAACGGCCCCAGGATCTCCTCCAGCTGCCGGGCTGTGTGTGGCCAGGAGAGACCCACAACAAACCGCAGGAAGATCTCAAAGCGCCAGTCGTTCTTCTTGTGAACCTGGTCCAGCAGTTCAACCAGGTTCCTGCGGACGGGAGTCAGGTACTGAGCGAGAGCAGCCACAAACTCCTGGATGATGAGATGAGGGAATGTGTACACAACTTGTCTCCCACCATCATCCTTCTCCAGAATCTCCATCATAAACCCTGAGATGAAGGTTGAGGGTTCAAGCTGATGGTGAGAGAAATGGTCATCATCGAACACAATGGTCCTGTTACAGACCCCCTCATAGGCCATCTCCCCGGCTCTCAGCATCACCTCCCGAGGGCTCTCACTCTCTCGGGGATGGTTCTTCAGGATGTTGTAAATGTAACTGGAGTACAGCTGTGTGATGGTTTTGGGGGGAGGCTGTTTGTCTTCTGGATGTTTGAAGATTGGCTCCAATGTGCAGCAGAGGATCCAACAGTAGGAAGGGTTGAAGCACATGGTGTACAGGATGTCATTCTCCTTCACATATCTCAGCACTTCAGCTGCAATCTTCTCATCTGGAAAGAAGCGTCTGATGTAATCTTCCCTTCCCTCAGCGAAGAATCCCAGGATTTCAGCCCAGCAGTTGGTGGGGATGTGATCCAAAGACTCCAGTGCAGTTGGGCGGCTTGTGATCAGCACTGAACAGCCTTTCAGTACTTCCTGATGTACCAGAGAGCGCACAATGTCAGCCACGGGACAGAGGCTTTCAGCCCCGGGCAGCTGACCCGAGGGACTGGGTTTCTGTCACTGTCTGTGAACTCAATCCTGTCCTTGAACTCGTCCAAACCATCAAACACAAACAGCAAATGTTCCGGCTTCTCCCAGATCTTGTCCAGAACATCCTGAAGATAAGGATATGATTCCAGGACCATGGTTTTCAGGCTGGTTTCCCCTTTTATCACGTTCAGGTCACGGAATTTGAAATGAAAGACAAAGTGGATCTGGGGATAGATCTTCCCTGTGGCCCAGCGATACAGAATGTTCTGCACCATGGTGGTTTTCCCAATCCCTGCTATTCCACTCAGGATGGTTGTCCCTAAAGGAGTTCCGAACAGCTCCTCCGGTTGTATTTTCTTCAGCTCCTTCCTGACATTCTTCTCTTGCCACTCCTCATGTTCTCTGCCTCTCGCCACCAATTCATGCTCCACCAGCCTCCGCTCACGGAGAGATGAAGTGACTATTAATTCTGTGTAACGTTCAGACAGCAGAAATGTCTTGGTTTTCTCCCGTCCTCGCAGGGTGTTTACTGACAGCTTCTCATTCTGGGAACGGAGGGTTTCTTTGTGCTGTTTCTGAACATCTTAAAATTGAACATCAGATCCCATCAGCATCGCCGCATATTTATTACCATAACCCAGTGAAACACGTGCACACCTTCCTTTTGATACATGCATGCACACTCTTACATACATACACACACACATACATTTTATGCGCAAAACACGGCAGTAAATTCTTCACAGTAGTTTCCTAGAAATGGCTGTGGATTGAGTTACCAAATTATTATTATCTGTTTTTGAAGGGACTATTAACCCCGGAAAGCAATCCGCCAATTGACTGCCAAGTGATTTCACTTATTTCTGGGTAAACAGACGCATGTGGACTAAGGAAACTTGCCCAACGTTTCACCCCGACTGTGAATCAAACCCAGGTCCGCTGGCTTCTCCATGAGAATGTACAATACTGAAACGTATTATCCACCCAACACTTCACAGTGTTTATATTATACACAATTCGCTCCAGTCTATATACCCATCAACGGTCACCTCTGGACCGTCTACTTCTTTCTTTGTCATTTACACATAGAGTATTTACTATGTTAAATTGTAGAATAGCTTTCTTCAATTTAAACAACAACAAGATTACATTTGCATAGTGCATTTCACAGAGTACAGCATTTCAGACCAGAGCCTTCTCAAAGCCATTTTAAGCATATCAAAGCCGATATGTCTCACAGAATTAAAATAAATTAAATGCAGTTGCCTTCGTTTGAAATGTTTACAGTGTATCACGATGGCCTGAATTGTTTCCCATCCTCCTGCGGATCCACTTACTCCAGTTCCCCAGTTGATGGATTTCCAGATCCATGGTCTGACTTTCAAATAGCTTCATGTTCTCAGCTCTGCCGAGCTCTGCCACATGCACCAGCTCTATTCTGCTGCTCATGCCCACCCCTCGTCTTCCCACTGGTTCTATGTTCCCTCCTTCCACCGTCTTTCACATGCGAGTGTCGCCCTTTGGAATTCTCCCAATAATTCCTGCTTTCTTGGGTAATGTTTCCACCATTTCACAGCAGTGCTTGGGTCAAGTTCGTCAAGTTCCCTCCCTCTCCTCCCTACTTAGTTTCCAAATTGTCTTGGTTACAGCTTTTGGACTTTCATCCTTGGAGAAACATGTTTTATTAAAAACAAAATATTTTCATATTTAATATCAATTTAATATTGTTGCTCTAAAGGACTTTATCCTCCAGTTCACTTACGTGTAAGTTCTTCAGCCAACTTCTCTTCACACCAGCAACGAAATATCTCAGTGGGAAGCCTGTTACCTGAAGATGTTTAATATACGTTAGTAGTGAAACGAGCCTGACAGGAGATAAGCCTTTAACTTGGAGTGCTATTAATGTCAGTATGGAAGACTTTCCACTTCCATGTGTCGGGGGATGCCACCTAACTCTATCGCTTTAGCCTCTACACTGGACTGCAGTACCATGATTTGACCAACTGCCATCAGATATCAAGATCCGATTCAGCTCTCACGTTCTCCAGTTAAATGTCATCAAGACGCAGCTCTCCTCGATGGGCTCCCGTCAGCAGCTCCTGCTGAGTGTACTTGCAGGAAGCAAACTCCACATTATGCAAAGAGTGTGAGTCTGGATTAATCTGCTTACTCCCCAACCCGCTGCCTCCCCTCGACTGGCTCTGGCCTCCTAATTGCCCCCGTTGCCTCTGTTCAACCATTGGTGGCCGTGCTTTCAGCCACTAAAACCTGAAGTTCTGGAGGTTTCTTCCTCTATCCCTACGCCTCGCCCCCTCCTTCCTTACCTCCAGCTCGTGCCTAAAGACCTTATTTTTCGACAGCGCCGGTGGTCACCCCCGGCTCAGTGCGGTGCTCTGCCACTGCTAAGCCCTCTGGGAAGCTAACCTGCGTGAGTTGGCGCTATACAAATGTATGTTGTTGTTGTCCCTCGCTTGGCTTTGCCTCACATCAGCAATTTTGCCCATCTCTAACATGACCCACTGGTCCTGAGGCATTCATTCGTGCCATCAGCACGTTACGGCCCATTTACACCCACACCTTGCCCCCTGATCCCCCAAAACTCTCTTCACTGCACAAGCTGTGGACTGTTCCCAACTGTGCAGCCCCCACTCTCTCCAACACCAGCCTCTGAGCCTATGTCCTCCATTATTGACTCCACTGACTCCCCATCCACCAGTGGATTTCAAGATTCCGATATTCTCAATCTTTCCATCCCTCCACGTCCTTCATATCCCTCCAAGCCCCCAATCTCTGCTCTTTCAAGTCCTGAATGAAAGTCTTCCTCTTTGACTGTACTTATCGTCATCCATCCAATTGAATTCGCTGCATGAATGTCAACTGTCATTGTGTGTAAAACAGTATTTCAGTGAGCCAGTAGTGAATTAGTGGAACAGGTTCCTTGGGGAGATGGTTGAAGCAGGAAATGTTGATGCTTTCAAACACAGATGAGATAGTTTTCTTTCAAGGAAATACGCAAGTTTGGAATATATGTGCATGTTACCACCAGGAAGGTGGAAGGTGAACCTGATGGACACTCCGTCTTTCTTTGTGTAGCAATTCTTATGTTCTTATCAAGGCAACCGATGGTTGATTCCTTGACTGGTATCTCTCAACGGCTTGCTACCATCTCCTTACTAACGTTGGTCACAGTGTCAGTCTCAATGGTGCCTTGTCTGACCCACTCCTATACTTTATTGCCAATTTCATGCTACCGATAATTGTTAGTGCCAGGCTCTAAACCAGACATTTGCTCAGATCGGATTGACCTCATACGACTTATACTCTGGTAGAACAACCCCATCTCCCCGCAAACCAAAGCTACTAGTCTGAAAGTACTGCGTTTCTAGCAGCTTGTATCAAAATGTGTCAAAATCCTACACCCACACCAGCCCCATTCGTAAAAATAACTTCCGCCATTTATGGTGTCTTACCCTTTTCCTGGATCTCTCTTACGATTCCCTTCAGCTGTGGTTTATTGTCCTCCATTTTCACAAAAGCTTCCCACATCTCTCTCTGCAGCTGGCTTGGTGCTCCAGTCACTAAATCCAGAAGATATCTCGATGCTTCCTGTCTCTGATTCTTGTTTACCAGCTGCCTGATGTGCTAGGAAAACAGAAACAAAAGTGTTAAACTACACTCACGCTGCTATGATGTGAACGGCTTTATTCAGTTGTCTGGTTTTCGAGTCAGGACTCTCTCAATCTGCCCAATTTGTCATTCTTCTGCTGTATATCAGCCGGGCTTATTTAGTAGGATTCTTGCCTCTGAATCTGAAACTTGTGCGTTCAAGAATCATGTCTGGTCATTGAACTCACAATGTAGATTGTCGCTCCAGTGCAAGGCTGAGGATGTGCTGCAAACTCTGGAAGGTGTCCTCCAGAATAAACGGTACACCGAGGCCACGTTCAACTGTTTAGGTGAACGTGACATATTTGGGGGGTTTAACCGAGTGTCTGACACATGTGTAAACCCTTCCCCATTGCTTAGGAATCTCCAGACCAAGCTGAAAAATCTATGCTTCCCACCTACACATCGAAACCACAGAGTAGATTGTTGGAATGGAATATGCTCTCTCTCTCTCCCTCCCTGGAGGAAAGCATCCTGTTTACCTAATTCTGGAAAGCATTAGACACAGGTTGGCAAGTTTCAAGGCTGGGGAGAGCCCAGAGTGAGCACAATTGGGGTAACTGCTGGAGTCTAAAACCACACAGATTTTCATTGATAGCATTATCTGTCAAATTTTCTCGCTGCTTGTCCAGCTTAGATCACCCGATCCGTTAGTTAGGGCTTTGGCTGCAATGATAGCAGGAGCTGAGAGGGAGTTTCCCTACCCCATTAACTTATCTGCCTTCCAGGTTCTGTGGATAAATCAGGCTGTGCTGTAATCAGCAGTGAATGCCCAGAAATACACCTGAACCCCCTGACTCAGGAACCGGAATAAAGACTGTCACAGACGGTGGAGGAGATTCGCACATTCCGTTCCCAAACACGTCAACTTGGGACCAAGCCAGCTCCAAAGACACCGCATTTACCTCCCACCCTCCTAAGCAGCGGGATAGTCACCAGCTGGTCATTCAACATTCCACAGCTGCGGGTTCGATCCTCACTAAGTTGATGGTGGATACCAGGATCTTCCTGAGTGCTTTCCGGCGGGCAACACACAGCAGCATGAAATCGTGAGAATATTGCCACCTTCTTCCTGTCCGCAGCTCCGACACACATCCCTTCCCATTGATAGATGGTTCCACCAATTGTAGGTGTGCAGTTTAAGGAGCAGTTCCTTTGTCTCTGAGGTAATACAGGATTCTAAGCACTGAATGTATGAACATATGTTCACAAATTCGGACTCCAGGTAACACCTTCCAGCAGCTGTCGCCCCAAGGCTCAGAATGTCCTCATCAGCTGTGCTATCTGGCGAGTTTCTGCCTTTAATTATCAACGCTCCTCACAGAAGGACCTGAATTAAGTAGCTGGTGTTCAGTTACCCTGCTGCACAACATTGGATTTGGACCTTGAGATCATCAAGTTGGCTGCAGTATCCTGTAAAACTCCTCCCATGGCACAATTTAACAAGAACGCGGTGTTTCCTCTGGTAAGGAAGCCAACAGTTCCTCTAATACAATTGGTTAATCACACCATGGTTGTTTGTGGGCATTGCTATACACAAACTACCTTCTATGTTTATCTACAGAACACACAGCCACTGCAACTCATAGTATATTGTGAAGGGCATTTGAAGGTACAATAACAAATGTAACCATTATTATATTTGCAAGGTACAAATCTGGTGTTAATGTTTCATAGCCCTTTTAGTTAACCTCTATATGCACGTCACTTACTCAATGCTTTATACGGTGGGTTTGATTTAAGGATTAGCTTAGCAGCGGTTATCTTTGCTGGTTCAGGTCAGCATTCTCATTCGATTCTTATTTTCTTGGGAAGATGTTCACTCCTCTCAGATAATGAGCAATCATACCCTTAAGCACAGATGTAAGAACAATGGACACAGAAAGAAAAGGCTACAGCTTCAGACACCTGCCTATCTCAAGGCTGAGAAACACGAATGTCGGAGAAGGATGGAAAAGAAAATGTTGCCCATCTGTCTTTCTCCCCATCGTTCTTTTCTGAAGGGAAAGGAGGCCGCTGAGGGTCACTTGCAGCTTGCACAGTGTGATGGCTTGCTCATTGGCAAGGGGAGGTGCAGTTAGAAACTATTATAAAAAGATGTAAGCATGAAATCGTTGAGTAGAAGTGGGAGTTGACGCTTCTCCTTCGCAGTTAGACGGGGTAATATGGATTTAATGTATCTATTGTCTAGGTTGGAGCTTTTGTGATATACTTAGTAATCGTTGGATTATCACACAATCGTATTAGTCGTCTCCAGCTGAATCTCTTACATATTAGCGCTGTTCCTTCATTAATTGGATAGCTTAGTTATACAAATAATAATCCTCCTATTTGATATTACAGTTAATCACATAATTGAAACACTGCAATGCACTTCACAGAAACGATTATAAAATGTTTAAGTTTCATGTGCTAATTGTGCATATTTTCAGCAAATGTAGGCAAATGTAAAATGACAAATTGTTTTTGTGTCACATTCTAGCTCCGGGTCTGGTAAAATGATTATTGAGGACACTTGACTGTAGAGTTGAAATAAATTTCCTTCGATCAATGTAACTTGAGACCGAGCTGTGAACTTTCACCAAGAAGACAAGTTAATTTTAATGTTGCTCAACCTACCACGAACTCTCTGAGTTTCAGTAATTTCTCCAGCGCCGATGTCAAGTCCTCCAACAGGTCGTCCATCGCCACCTCCAGCCTCTGCCTGTAGAACCAGGTCACCAGGTGAAGCTCAGTGTTGCTGTAACTTTTCAGAATCCCACTGTTTGTAGTTTTATCGCCATCTGACAAAAATAAGGTACATGTGAAGGTCAGTTAGAGCAATGGAGATCATTACTACATTTAGTGAGGAAGAAGTCTGTGGGGAAGGAGGCCTGAATGCAAATCAAAGCACCATAGAGCGGAAGGCAGGGAAGCGGGATAGGAGCAGAATAGTAACGTTGGTGTCAGAGGGGACGCAATAATTAAGGGGATCGAGAGTATCCTCTGCTGTCTGGATCGAGAGCCCAGGAGGGTGTTGTCTGCCCGGTTCCAGGGTCAGGGATATTACAATGCAGCTGGAAAGAAACGTTGAAGGGGAGTGGACAAGATCAGTTGTCGATAATCACGCGGGAACCAATAAAGATGGAAAGAGGACGAAGGTTGTTCTGCTAAGGTGTATCAAGAGCTGGGATTAAGATAAATATGCAGGATAATCTCCGGATTGCCACAAGCCACGTGCTAATCGGTAGAGATCAACGGATCAGGGAAATGAAAGCGTAGTGTGAAACGCAGGGGTTCCTTTTCATGGGACATTGGCACCAGTATTGATAAAAGAATGAGCTGTGCTGCTGGGAAGGGCTGCACCTCAACTGGGCTGCGACTAAGGTTCCAGCGAAAAGGATAAATAGGACTGAAGAAAAAGCTTGAAACCAGTAAAAGTGTGTGGTGGATGGGGGGTAGTGGGAGTGGGGGGGAACTGTGGGGGAAACAACAACCAAAACATAAAGCAAAGTGAGGATAAGAGCAACGGTCAGAATACATATAATGATAAAGTCGCAAATACTACAGAAAGAAACAAGCTAATAGGAAGTTATCACAACAATGTGCAACACGTCAATAAGTGTGAGAAGAACTTCGTCAGGGCGTATAGGCATGCCGCAGCAGTTACGAAATAAGAGTTATTTCTCCAAATTCACGTAGCATAAGAAATAAAATAAGTGAGTTACAAGCACAAAAGCAGCTTGAAGGCTATGATATATTAGCCGTTGTTAAATGCTGGGCAGGAGTCGAAGCTAAATATTCCAGGCTATAATATCTTTAGAAGACAGGGATATTGGGAAATGAGGAGGTGTAGCAATATTGATTAAATACCCATTACAGCAGTGGAAAGAAAATATCAGTCAGGTCAATGAGGTATGGAGAGAGAAAGCGGGCAGTGAGGTTGATCAGGGCTATGGGGAGAAAGTATGGGAGTGGGATTAATTTGGAAAAGTTCTTTTCAAAGAGCCGACACAGGCACGATGGGCCGAATGGCCTCCTTCTGTGCTTTATAATTCTATGATTCCATGATCAAGCTCAATGGGATAAGAACTAAATTGACCACAGTAAACTGTGCTGAAATGTTATTGGGGAAACCTGCAAACAAACAATGAGAAGTATTCAAGAAAAGTATTTGATACAATACAGGACAAGTACATAGCCCTAAAATGCAAAAGCTCAACTCTGTAGTTGAGCAACCATGGTGCACAAAAGAGGTTAGAGACTGTATCAAACTAAAAGAAACGGCTTACTCAAATGCAGGAAAAAGTGGGAATGCAGAGGACTGGGAGAACTACAAAAGGCAACAAAAGTTATAGAAAGAAAGCAATAAGAGGAGCAATAAGAGACTATGAAAATAAACTTGCAATGGATATTAAAGCTAATAGTAAAAGCTTTCATAACTATAATTAAGCGAAAGAGTTTGAGTGGTCAAGTTTAATGTGGGCTCGTTAAAGATGGATTTAGGTGAGACTCTAATGGAAAATAATGAAATGGCTTGTTAAATAAATAATTCTCTACTGGATTTACAGTTGAAAGGATGAGGACAAAATTGCAGCCATACAGGACAACCTAAACATAAGTCAAAGTGAAATGCTTAATAACATTACGATAAATAAATATGGTAATGGAGAAAACAATGAGATTCAAGATGGACAAATCTCCAGGACCTGATAATTTCCACCCAGTATCCTAAAGGAAATAGGAGAGGAAATTGCAGTTGCATTCGTCATAATTTTCCAAAAATCACGAGATTCGCGAATTATGCCCTTAGATTGGAACATTGTGAATGTCACCCGTTTATTTAAGAAGGGAGCGAGGGAGTAAGCAGGAAACTAAAGATCTGTCAGCTTAACGTCAGTTGTAGGAAAAATAAACCCTAACCGATCATCAGGGACAGAATGTTTGAACACTTGGACAGCTATAAGCTAGTCAAAGAGAGTCACCGTGGGTTTGTGCAGGGCAGGTCATCTCTGAGTAATCTGAACAAATCTTTTCAGGTAGTCTCCAATATGTTGGATGAGAGAGTGTCTACGGATTTTGTTTATATGGACTTTCAGAAGGTATTTTATAAGGTTTCGCACAAAAGATTATTAATTGAAAAACGAAGCGCGTGGAGTTCGAGGTAACCTATTGATGTGGCTCAGTAATTGGTTGGGAGGCAGGGAGCGTAGGGATAAAGCTGACGTTCACTGATGGGCGGGACGTGACAAGTGGTGTCCCCCAGGGGTCTGTAATGGGACCTCGGCTATTCACCATATATACACCATATGTAGAGCTATTCACCATATCCACACAATATATAGAGCTATTCACCATATATACACCATATATACAGCTATTCACCTATACACTAGAGGAGCTTTATATCCACACAATATATGGAGCTATTCACCATATGTACAGCTATTCACTGTATATACACTATATATGCAGCTATTCACCTATACGATGGTAAAGGCGCTCTATAAAGTTATTTGTATGTTGTTGTATGCACACATATAATGTTTAAATGACTTGGAAGAAGGAAAAGAAAATGTTGTTTCCGCGATGGCAGACGACAATAAGCTAGGAGGCTCAGTAAGTTGTGGAGATGAGAGTAGGAAGTTACAAAGGAATTAGTAGATTAAGGAGCAGAGAAAATTGTGGCAGATGGAGTTCAATGTCCGGAAGTCTTAGATCATCCGCTATGGACCTAAAAAAGCAGAATATTTTCTAAATGGGGACAAATTAAAAACTGTGGAGGAGCAAAGAGATTTAGGTGTCCATATCCACAAATGACCAAAAACTAGTTCCCAGGTGTAAAAAGTAATCAAAAAGGTGAATGGAATGTTGGCTTTATCTCAGGCGCCTGGAATACAAAGGAGAAGAAATAATGCCTCAGCTGTATAGAGCGTTAGTTACACCCCACCTGGAGACCTCGTTCAGTTTGGGGCTCTACACCTCGGGAAAGGTATATTAACGTAAAGTAACATGTAGGAGCAGGAGGAGGCCATTCGGCCCTTCGAGCCTGCCCCGCCATTCAATCATGGCTGATCTTCTAATCTAACTCCAGCTAATAACCTAACACTGCCTTATCCCCATATCCCTTAATTCCTTTTGCAATAAGAAATATATGTAACTCAGTCTTGAATATCTTGAAGGAATTGGCCCTGGAGGGGGTGCAGTACAGGTTCACCACAATGTTACCAGGCCTAAAAGGGTTAAGTTACGAGGAAAGACTGCTTAAACTTGGATTGTATTCCCTTGAGTTCAGAAGCTTGAGGGGTGATTTGATTGATTTATTTAAGATGATAAAGGGATTTCATCGGGTGGATACAGAGAATGTCTGGTGGTGGAATCGAAAACAAGTGGGTATAGTCATAAAATTAGAAACAGGCCATTTAACAGTGAAATCAGGAAGCATTTTTCACTCAAAGGGTGCTAGAAATATGGAATTCTCTCCCCCCTAAAAGGCTGTAGGTATCGGATCCATCCACACTTTCAACAGTAAGGTTATTGTTATTGAGTAAGCCTTATTAAGGCTATTAAGGGATATCAGGAGAAAGCGGAAAATTTAAATTGAAAGAAAGAGTTCAGCGACAGATCAGCTATGATCTAACTAAATGATAGAACAGGCTCAAAGGGCTTTTTGGTCTACTCCTGTTCTTTTTATATTCTATGTTCCAAATGAGCGTCTATTTGATGAAATATAAAATAATTCATATGGGGACAAAAAATCCAGGAATATTAATTGAATGAAGGAAAATAATATGTATGGAAAATGTAAAAGATCTGGGTTCTGATTGACAATACAGTTAAGCTCTCCCAACAATGCTGTGAGACAGCGAGTAAAGCAAACCAGATGTTGGGTATATCGAAAGAACAATAATAATAATAATAATAATAATCCTTGCATTTGATATAGCGCTTTTCAGGTCGGGAGGACGTCCCAAAGCGCTTCACAGAACACACTATAAAGTGAATTGACTGTATATTTGTGGGCGAACGCGGCAGCTAATTGCGCACAGCAATGTCCCACAAACAGTCGTAGATTGAAAATGACCAATTTTGTTATTGTTTTTGTTTTGGAGGGATTATTATTAGGCGTGTGGAGTAAGGAAACTTGCCCAAGGTTTCACCCTGACCTGCCTGGAATTGAACTCAGGTCTCTCACTTGCAAAGCGAGTGCTCTAATCACTGAGCTACAGGACTCCACGATTTATACTACCCATTGGCCTTTGGCTCACATGGTACTTGACACATCTACACTGGATCTCATTGATGAGCCATACAGGCTGGTCAAGATTCATTGGACATGTTTGCTCCAAGGTAGTTTAAACACAGAGACATGCTGATTTAGACGAATACAGAAATTCTCAAACATTCTGGATTCATTTTAGATACAGAAGTAATCTTGACATAGATTAATTTCCAGATTTACATGTAAGATATTCTCAGAAATTCTCAGGCTTGAGTCATAGAATTATACAGCACAGAAGGATGCCATCGCCATCATGTCTGTGCTGGCTCTTTGAAAAGAGCTATCCAATTCAATCCCACTGCCCCGCTCTCTACCTATAGCCCTGCCCAAATAATCCTCCCCAAATAATTATCTACTTCTCTCTTAAATGTTGATATCGAATCATATATGATCTATCAGCTTGTGGGTGAATCATTGTGATCTTATTCACAAGATAAGCATTTCTTGAACTTCCTACTGCTGCTGAGAGATAATCTTTCACTGTGGAATGTGTGATCAGAAGGCATTTCTAATTTGGCCACAAAACCATACACACTCATTGCTGGTTTTCAGACTCACAATAGATAGTATTGCTTGGCACTGGGAGGAGTGAACATTAAATAATAACAATTCCAAGAAGTAAACCACTCATTCAAATTCAATAAAGATTTCACCACCACATCAATCTCATCATCTAAACTTCCAGGATCATTTTCATTTCCAAGATCATGTCTTTCCTTTCTTCAAATCTTTCTTCGTTTTACCACAATAACAGGCCAAAATAGTGAGGTAATCCTGCCACTGTATAAAAACAACAAAATGATGTTTATACCGCGCCTTGCACGTTGGGAGGACTTTCCAAGGCACTGGACAGTCAGAGGTCGGGACCCAAGCATGGGGGAGGGGTGCGGTACGGGTGAGGGAAGGCAAGGAGGTGGGAGGGTGACGGAAGTTACAATCGAAGAGAAGAGTCTTGAGACCGGCTTTGAAGGAGTCAAGGGAGGAAGCAAGGCGAAGGGTCTGTGGGATGGATTTCCAGATTATGGCGACAGAGAGGCTGAAAGCTCTGCCACCGATGATTTGGGGTGTCGGGCTGGAGACATGGAGCAGGCCGGAGCTCGCCGAATGGAGGGAGCGGCCAGGTTGGTAGGTAGTCAGCGGAGAGGTAGGAGGGGATAAGGCCATGCATGGCCTTGAAATTGAGGACGAGACAATACATCATTGGTGAGACTACACTTAGAGTACTGTGTATATTTCTAGACGTCGTAGTACAAAAAGGATATAGGAGAAATTGAGAAGATACAGAGGAGGCCATCCAAAATTATTGGGGGAATGGAGGGACTGCATTATCATGAGCAACAAAGTAATTTGGGCATGTTCACGCTGGAAAGGGGAAGATTGAGAGGCGACATGATTGCTGTCTTTAAGTTTCTAAAGGCACAAAATAATGTAAATCATAACAGTCTGTTTCAACTTCTCCGGAATGGTGAAACCAGAGCACACGGCCTGCGATTAAATGGGGTTAAATTCCGAATGAATCTATGCAAACACTATTTCAGTGATCTGCATGTGATCTCCAGGAATGTGGAAGGTGAACTCGATGCACCTCGGTCTTTTTCTCGTCTTGCATTTCTTATGTTCCAAGAATGAAGTCACCAAGAGGGGGGGGTGTAGATTTTGAAGAGAAGAGGACCAAGGACAGAGCACTGAGGAACGCTGCCTCACACAGTGTGGGAGCTGGAGGAAAAGCTGCATGTTGATGAGAAGGATCTGGACTGAAAAGCAGGTGAGGTTACATAAATTTTCCCAACTTTTGGCCGCTTACCATCACCTATAGCACCCTCTGTTGGCCGGTTACCAGCGCCGGTAGCGCCCTCTGTTCGCCGGTTACCATCACCGGTAGTGTCCTCTGTTGTCCGGTTACCATCATCTGTAGCGCCCTCTGTTGGCTGGTTACCATCATCTGTAGCGCCCTCTGTTGGCCGGTTACCATCATCTGTAGCGCCCTCTGTTGGCCGATTACCATCATCGGTAGCGCACTCTGGAGGTCGGTTACCATCACCGGTAGCGTCTTCTGGTGGTCGATCTCTTTCCTGTTCCACAGCCCTTGTTGTGGCACAAACTGAGGCCTCACTGCTTTGTCGTGTGCTGCTCTGTACATGGGCTGCTGTACAACAGGAGCCTCCCATCCTGGAACAGAGATCAGCATTAAATGGAACGAGTTACAGATTGTTTATGGGTTACACAGAACTACAGCTAATGTGGGATTTCCTCATGATTTCCTCATGGATTGTGGCGCTTAGAAACACAACCTTCTGACTGAGAGGCCAGTGAACTACCAACATGCATTCAAGCTGTAAAGTGCATAGTTAGGCCAGACCCCAGCGGGGGAATCAACAACTGCCAGAAGTCACCAGTGAAAGAGATGTATATATAGAGAGGAAGATTGTTACAGATCATGAGAATATTTCAATGCACAAAGCGGTCAGGATTTGGATTGCTCTGCGGGAGCAGTGATTGAGGCAGAATTCATATTGGCTTTCAAAAGGGAACTAAATAAATAATTTAAATCTTCAAAGGGAGGCAACGGACGCAAAAAGACTGAAAGAAGGTTCAAAGGAAAGTTAGGGCTGCTAAGGGACCAAAAAGGAAAACTTCCAGTGGAGGCAGAAGGCACGGCTGAGGTACTGAATTAATAATTTTCTTCTGCCTTCACAAAAGAGAGAATGGTGCCAATGTTACAAGGGGAGGAGGTAGAAAAATTGAATAGGTTAAAAGGGAGAGAAGATACTTAAAAGATGGGATGCATCCTAGATTGCTGAGGGAATTTCAGGCGGAAATAGCGGATGCTCTGGTCACAATCTTTTAAAACTCCGTGGATATGGGACTATAGTCAGAGGACTGGAGGGTTGTAAATGTTATAGCCCTAAAAAGAGGAGAGACGGATGAATCTGGTGACTGCAGGCCAGTCAGCCTAACGTCAATGGTGAGGAAGCTTCGAGAGCCCACAATGTCGGACAAAATTATTTTTCAATTGGAAAATCTTTAGCTAATTAATGAAAGTCAACAGATTTGCTCAAGGCAAATCGTGTCTGACAAACTTCATTGAGTTCTTTGATGATATACAACAACAAGATACAACAACAAGATTCCATTTATAGAGCGCCTTTCACGTAGGAACGTAAGGCGCACAGTTGGTCAGAGAGAAATGTAGGTGAGAAAGGAGAAGAGAGGAAATGTCAGGGAAGGGAAGAGAGAGGGAATGTAGGTGAGGAGGAAGGAGAGAGAGAAATGGTCAGGTGAGGAGGAAGGAGGAGGAGGAGGAAAGAGTCGAGAGGGGAGCTGGCCGGTCAAGAGAAAGGGGAGCTTGAAGGGGGAGGGAGGGGGCAGGGGGAGGAGTCGGGGCGGGGCTGAGGGCCCGAAGTAGGGGGGGGGGGGGACGTGGAGCAGACGGAGCAGAGGACGGAGGGAGGGGGGGTAGGGGGAGGGAGGGGAGAGGCCGTGAATGGCCTGTGGAGGATGAGGATCTGAAATCAATCCTTGGGGGATGGGAGCAGTGGAGCGACGAGGTGGTGATGGGAACCTGGTGCGGAAGACACGAGCTGCAGAGTTCTGAATGACCTGCAGGTGGAATGAAGGCGAAAATGAAAACAAGATAGTGTATATCGACTTTCAGAAGGTGTTTGAGAAGGTGCCACACAGTACACCAGTTAACAACATTGAAGCCCATGGGATAGAAAGGAGAATGGCAGATTGGACACCAATTGTCTGGGAGACGGAAAGCAGCGGCTTGTCGTAAATGGTTCCTTTTCACACTGGATACAGTGATGTCCACAGGGGTCGGTATTAGTTCCATTGCTCTGTTTGATATATGTGAATGACTTGTGTATAAAGAGCAACACATTTATCTTTGCAGATGACACGAAACTTGGGAACCTTTTGAACAGTGAGTGGATGATAGCAAATGACAGGAGGAGATAGACAGGCCGGTGAAATGGGCAGACACAAGGCAGATGAAGTTCAAGGGGCAGAAGTATGAGGTGATGCACTTTGGGAGAAAGAATGGGGAGAGGAAATATGCAATACATGGTACAGTTTTAGTGGGGGTTCAGGATCAGAGATTCACAAACGCAAGTTGATGAGCGGTTGAATTCTCAAACAGTTCTCAGACAGCAAATCTCCACTGTGTTGAAAGGGTACATCCCCCAAAAAGTGCATGCACATCCTGTGTGTTGTTAACCTATCCATACTCCTCATAAAGAGAAGCACCACAGAGAGAGGGGTATAAAACCTTATAACTGTGCCCTACAAAGGCTGGCAGGACCCTGGAGTGGGGCAGCCTTAGTCCCTTCAGCAAAGGGGGGAATGCAGAGATGCTTCCCCCACCCACCCACACTCCCTCACCCTCTCCACCCGCCGCCACAAGGGTCTGTTGCTGTCAGAGCATGAAACAGGATAACAAATTTATTTTTTTATATTCTGTTTAAGAAATTGTTTGTTTGAACGGAATGTAAATATATATTCTATCAACAAATAAATATATATTCTGTTTCTAAACTAATAACTGATGATCAGGTCTGGCAGGTTTAATGCTGCTGGAGTCACACACAGTGGGCACTGCCTCCCTACACACAGACACACAAAGCCTGGCACAGGCAGAGCACACAGTGTGGGCACTGCCCTCTCTGCTCCACGGTTGGCCACAGTGAGAAGTCAGAGCATTTTAAGTCAACAGCTAAAGCTGCGGCTTCTTGTTCTGTATTTATCTCATAGTTTGTACAGAAAGACAGGAAACCAGGCGCTGGGGATGTGCAGAGCTGAACTCACAGCCTATTTTTCCTCTCTGCTGCTAACAGTCACAGCACGAGAGAGAGTGCAAAAACAACATAGAAATCAAACACAGCTCCAATAAACCATCAACACACAGCGACAGCTCAAACTGGGGCAGTTTGTCTCACTGACAGTCGGACGGTTGAGAATGTAGATTTGGTGTCAATCTGTTAGTATGAGCTCCAAACCATGTTGCAGTGAGTTCGCTTGTGTCATCAAAATTAGGGCGTTACCCACACAGTCCAGAACTGTAGCTTATATCTTTATTAACAGACAAACAGCAGCGTTTCCGCACTTACACTATTTCCTCTCTGAGCCTCAGTGAGACTCAGTAAGCAGAAACTGACTGGAATACAGAGACAAACTCAGGCAGAGAGAGAGAGCGAGACACATACAGACAAAGAGAGTTTGATAAAGATGCATATTTTTGCACACATAGGGACATATATGGATACACAGAGAGAAACACACACAGGAAGAGAGAGTGTTACACACAGCCACAGAGCAATACCAATACTGACACGCACAGACACAGAGCGATACAAACACCAACACACACACACACAGAGTGATACAAACACAAACTCGCACAGACCAGAGCGAAACAAATACAGACATGCACAGACACAGAGATACAGAGACACACATAGACAGAAATGTACAGACACACAAACAGAGACAGATCCACAGACAAAGACACAGAGAGAGGGAGAGGGATACAGATACACACACGCACAGACAGACGGAGATACAGACAGACAAAAAGAGACAGTATGGATTATTACCCACAGAAAGCAATCCACAAATCAACTAACAATCGGGGTCTAACTTACAGCTTGGAAAGAAGAGGTGTGGGTGTGTGGAGCAAGGAAACTTGCTTAAAGTTTTGCCCTGACCAGAAATCAAACCCAGGTCCTCTCCTTTGGGAGGTGAGAGCTCCTTTGACTGGGCTCTAATCGACAAGCTTTGAACCTCGATTTCAAGATCCTCTCACTTTATTTTCAAATCATTTTGTTCCCTCGCACTTCCCTCCCTGTTCGATGTGCTTAGCCCCGCCACCCCCACTCCACCAACAACTGCCTCCATGTGGCTGGCTCCGGCCTCCTTGTTTCCCCTTGTGCCCTGCGTTACACCTTTGGTGGCCATGTCTTCAGCCACTATAACCCGAAACCCTGGAACGCTCTCCCTCAATCGCTCCGTCTTATATCCTCCCTCCCCTCCTTCACATCCTGTCTGAATAGCTTCCTTTTTGATCGTGCTAATGGTCACCTCCCTCCTCCCTCTCCCGCGAGCTTGGGGTCAGACTCTGCCACTGTCAAGTGCTCCAGGAAGCTCCCACGCATGAAGGGACCTTGCAATATACGTTGTTGTAAGCTACAGAACTCCACAAATCTGCAAATCTAAAGTGATCTGGTGCTGAGGTTGAAGATTAACGAAAATGATGTTGAGGGAATTGATGCCCTGAGCCTACCTTGGTGCTGTCTGTGACCAGATGCTGACGGGGGTGAATTCCTCCTCGTGGCCTCTCTCTCTCTCCCTCTCTCTCTGAGCTGCTGATCTCCTGTTCAGAGCAAAGGAAATGTTCACTTGCTGGTGCTGCCTCAGACACAGTAACTTACGAAGCTGCTGCTGTCTGTCTGTCTGTCTGTCTGTCTGTCTGTCTGCTGGTGACACAGTCTCCTCTCTGAACCCTGGTTGGCTCCAGTTCCTCACAATGTGCTGGAAACATCTGATTGGTTTGGTTAAAGAAGCCCCTTCGGCCCAATTATTACCTTAACAGAACCTGCACTTCCCTTCTTGCCATCACAGTACAGAGGTGTGTGTGTCTCAGACTCCTGACCCCAGCCCCTCCACACACTATTCTTGATGTTGCTGAGCCTCTTAGTAAAGGATCCTGTCCTGTGTCTGTGTGAGAAGTGTCTCCTTGGAGCTGCACTGGGTCCAAGGGAATGTGGGCATCAAGTCATCCCTCTGTGAGTCACAGCACGAGAGTAAAGGGCAAAAACAAGATGTGAATCAAACACAGCTCAAATATACCATCAACACACAGCGACAGCTCAAACTGGCCAAAGCCCCCACCCTCCTCTTGCCCCCGGAATGTAGATTTGTTTAAAAACTGCTTATTTCAACTGTAAAACCGTGTGTGGTGAACCACTTGTGCAAACACTCTCAGGGCGTTACCCACACAGCCCAGACCTGCAGTTTATATCTTTGTTAACGGAGAAATTCCCTCCTCCTGCCCCCATCCCCAGCCCCCTCACTCCTCCTGCCCCCAGCCCCCTCCCTCCCCCTGCCCCCCAGCCCCCGTCCTCCTCCTGCCCCCAGCCCCCACCCTCCTCCTGCCCCCCAGCCCCAGCCCTCCTCCTGCCCCCCAGCTCCAGACCACTCACTCCTCCTGCCCCCCAGCCCTCCTTCCTACTGCACCCCAGCCCCAGCACACTCTCTCCTCCTGCCCCCAAGCCCCCTCCCTCCTCCTGCCCCCAAGCCCACTCCCCCCTCCCGCGCCCCAGCCCCTTCCCTCCTCCTGCCCCACAGCCGCAGGCCACTCGCTCCTCCTGCCCCCAGCCCACTCCCTCCTACTACCCCGAAGCCCACTCCCTCCTCCTGCCCCAGCCCCCTACCTCCTCCTGCCCCAAGGCCCCTTCTGTCCCAGCCCCCTCCTGCCCCCAGCCCCCTCCCTCTTCCTGCCCCAAACCACCTCCATCTTCCTGCCCCCAGCCCCCTCCTGCCCCCAGCCCCCTACTCTTGACCCCAGGATTCTGCTCTTGCCCCCAGCGCCCTCCTCTTGCCCCCAGCACCCTACTCTTGCCCACAGCACCCTCCTCTTGCCCCCAGCAGCCTCCTCTTGCACCCAGCACCCTCCTCTTGCCCCCAGCATCCTGCTCTTGCTCCCTGCACCCTCCGCTTTCCCCCAGCACCCTCCTCTTGCTCCAAGCACACTCCTGACTCTAGCATTCTCCTCTTGCCCCCAGCTCCTTCCCTCCTTATGCCCGCAGCCTCCTCCAGCCCCCTCCACCCTCCCTCCAGCCCCCTCCCTCCTCCAGTCACCAGCACCCTCCCTCCAGCCCCTTCGCTCCCTCCTCCAGCCCCTCCCTCCTCTAGCCCCCTCCCTCCTCCAGCCCCTCCCTCCTCCAGTCCTCCTCTTGCCCCCAGTCCCCTCCCACCCTCCTCTTGCCCCCTCCCTCCTCTTACCCCCAGTTCCCTCCTTCCACTTGCCCCCAGCTCCCTCCCTCCTCTTGCCCCCAGCCCCCTCCTTCCACTTGCCCCCAGCCCGCTCCCTCTTCTTGTCCTCTTGCTCTAGACCACTGAGGCCTGGTAAAGTGTGGTGTGTGACAGTGCCTCCCCATCAACACACACACACATAGATACACATACAGACACACAAAGACATATACACGTACACACACACGCAAATATAAACACACAACGAGCGAAATGCGCACAAACACACAGATAGACACTCACACACAGACAGTCATTTACACACACAGAGACATTCACACACAGAGATATACACACACAGAAACATATACACAGAGAGAATTACACCGAAAAGCGTGTACACATAAACATATAGACACATATGCATACACATGCACAGAAAAACAGAAAGAAAGAGACAGAGAGACACACGCAGACAGAGATAGATACAGAGATAGGGAGTTACACATACAAAAAAAAACACACACATAGATATACACACACAGTCAGATAGATTCAATGAGTGATGAGACAAGACAAGACTAGACACTAACAGACACACAGGCAGAGAGAGAGAGACATACACACAATGTGAGAGAGAAAGAGAGAGATACACAGTCACCTGTGCACACTCACAGATGCGAAGGCACACAGATGAGTATCGACACAGGGAGAAAGAGTTTGACACACACAGATACAGACACACATACAAACAGATAGAAAAATACAGAGAGAGGGAAATACATACAGAGAGATATGTGCAAGATCAGAGAGATACAGAAGAACAGGAACACGGTGAGAAATACACACATACAGATACAGATAGATAGACAAACAGGGAGAAATGCAGACAGACAGGGCTACACAAATACAGAGATAGATACACACATAGACAGACAGACAGAAATACACACAGGTATAGAGAGAGATACTAACAGAGAGAGCGGGAGATGAACCATTTACAAACATACAGAGAGATCCAGAGCGAGAGAGAGAAAGAACATATACACACACATATATTGAAAGATACACACACACACAGATACTGAGAGTGAGACAGAGACACAGACAGATGCACACTCATATCGTCAGAGAGAGACAGAGACAGGGACACAGAGAGATAAACTCACACGCAGAATCAGAGAGACAAAGGAGAGACACAGAGAACTAAACATACACAGACCCAGAGAGACAGATACACACACACGCAGATACACACACACACATAGGCAGAGAGAGAGAGAGAGTGACAGAGAGACACAATGAGAAAGTTTCTGAAAGTTACGTAATATGTGTATATCTTCCTATACCTTAACATAGCTGTCACAGGCCTGGGTACAACTCAGTGACTGCTCTGGACCACTGAGACCTGGTGAAGCCTGGTGTGTGGCAGCATCTCTGCACACACATACAGACCCAGACCCAGACAATGGACACACACATATAGACACCCACCTTTACATACCTAAATACTCACAAACACAAGCACAAAGGTACAGAACCAAAGATACAGAGGGAGATACACACACACTCATACCATACACTTGTGCACAGACAGAGACATATAGAGACTGAGAGAGAGAGATTCAAGAGAGACATCCACAAGCACATACACACATACAGATGAATTTTAATGCTGTTGATGTCACACATTTCCCTGGACACGCAGAACACAAAGTGTGGGCACTGCACTCCTTGCGCCATATTTGGCCAAAGTGAGAAGTTAGAGGGTTTTCAGTCAACAGCTAAAGCCCCGACATCTTGTCTCATTACTCGTGCAGAAAAACAGGAAACCAGGCGCTGGGGTGACTAACCACAGGGGATGTGCAGAATTGAACTCACAGCCTCTTATTCCTTTCTGTTGGTGACAGTCACAGCATGAGAGCAAAGGGCAAAAAATTGCCCCCCAGCCCCAGCCCACTCCCTCCTCCTGCCCCCAACCCCCTCCCTCCCTCCTCCAGTCAACAGCACCCTCCCTCCAGCCCCCTCCCTCCCTCCTCCAGCCCTTCCCTCCTCCAGCCCCTCCTCTTGCCCCCAGTCCCCTCCCACCCTCCTCTCGCCCCCTCCCTCCTCTTGTCCCCAGCCCCCTCCTTCCACTTGCCCCCAGCCCCCTCCCTCCTCTTGCCCCCAGCCCCCTGCCTCCCTCCTCTTGCCCCCAGCACTCCCTCTTCTTGGCCCTCCCTCCTCTTGCTGCCTCCCTCCTCTTGCCCCCTCCTTCCTTTTGCCCCCATCCCCCTCCATCCATTGTGCTCCATTGTGGAGTCCTGTAGCTCAGTGGTTGAGCACTCGCTTTGCAAGCAAGAGACGAGTTCAATTCCAGGCAGGGCGAAACCTTGGGCAAGTTTCCTTACTCCACACGCCTAATAATAATCCCTCCAAAACCAAAAACAATAATAAATTGGTCATTTTCAATCCATGACTGTGGAACATTGCTGTGCGCAATTGGCTGCCGCGTTCGCCCACAAATATACAGTCAATTCACTTTACAGTGTGTTCTGTGAAGCGCTTTGGGACGTCCTCCTGACGTGAAAAGCGCTATATCAAATGAAAGGATTATTATTATTATTATTATTATCCTCGTGACACCAGCCCCCTCCCTCCCTCCATCCCACTTCCTCCTCCAGCCCCCTCCCTCCTCCAGCCCCATTCTCTTGCCCCCAGCCCCCTCATTCCTCCTGCCCCCAGCCTCCTCCTACTACAATCCCCCTCCCTCTTAGTGCCCCCATCACCCTCCCTCCTCCTGCCCTCATCCCCCTAAACACTCACTCCTCCTGCCCCCTTCCCCCAGCTCACTCCCTCCTCCTGCTCCACGGCACACTCCCTCATCCTGCCCCCAGCCCCAGCACACACCCTCCTCCTGTCCACAGACCCCTCCCTACATCCTCTTGCCTCCAGCCCCCTCCCTCCCTCCTCTTGCTCCCAGGCCCCTCCCTCCCTCCGCTTGACCCCAGCCCCCACCCTCCCTCCTCTTGACCCCAGCCCCCTCCCTTCTCTTGCCCCATCACCCTCCCTCATCTTGCCCCACGCCCCCTCACTCCTCTTGCCCCAAGCCCCCTCCCTCATCTTTCCACCAGCCCCCTCCCTCATCTTGCCCCCAGCCCCCTCCCTCCACTTGCCCTGAACACCCTCTCTCCACTTACCCCCAGCTCCCTCCCTCCTCTTTCCCCCAGCCCCTCCCTCCTCCAGCCTCCAGCCACCACCCTCCTCCTTCCCCCATCATCCAGCAGACTCCCTACTCCTGCTCCCAACCCCCGACACACTCCCTCCTACTGCCCCCATTCCCCAGCCCACTCCCTCCTCCTGCCCTCAGCTCATTCCCTCCTCCTGCCTCCATTCCCCAGCTCACTCCCTCCACCTGCCCTCCAGTCCACTTCCTCCTCCTGCCCCCCAGCCCACTCCCCCCGCCTACCCCCAGCACACTCTCTCCTCTTGCCCCCAGCAAACTCCATTCTCCTGCCCCCAGCACCCAGCCCACTCCCTCCTCCTCCTGCCCCCAGCCCACTCCCTCCTCCTCCTGTCCCCAGCCCACTCCCTCCTCCTCTGCCCCGAAGCCCACTCCCTCCTCCTGCATCCCACCCCACTCCTTCCTCGTGCCCCCCCAGCCCACTCCCTCCTCCAACCCCCCAGCCCACTCCCTACTCCTAATCCCCAGCCCCAGCACACTCCTTCCTCCT